GCCATAGTATGTGGTGCGGCGGCGCCGGCAGTAGGCGTCGGGTGGGTTATCTACCGCGCAGCTAAAGATGAACAGTAGGTTTCTACACATCGATCTAATTCGCACATTTGCGTTATGCGTGTAGTGGGGCAACGGTGGTGTTGTTTCACCTTGGGTATACGATGCAGTTGTACAATAGCCCATTAGCATACCTTGTACGGCACTGGTAGAATTCCTAACGCTAATGCACCACTACTGTACTGTAGTACTCAACACGTTCATAACATATTCCTGTATTAACTTGCATCCATTGGTAGTACAGTGTACACTATGTAAGTTAGTGAAATTTCAATACTATTAATATTAATGTAAATAGTACTGAAGTACTATTTCCGACTACGTAAGCTTACTGTTACAATTACTCCAGATTGTGAAAGTCATCCAGGAATATTTGTAGTCATCCAGGAATATTTGAAGTCATCCAGGCCAAATTGGATTCATCCATATCCTAATTAGGTTTCGTACATTTGTATTTAAATGTACTACAAGAACGTATGTGATTATTTATGTTTGGTGTCATCCAACACCGTCCTCGTTGTAAGTAGGTAGTATTACAACTAACGTTAGCGGCAAAATCGTAGTGTTGAAACCCCGAAACCCCTTTAACGCGACGGCTAAACCATTTTGCACACTTCGAAAAAGATGTAAACCATGTGCATGACAACGAGGAAACCCCGAAACCCCTTTAACGTAATGGCTAAACGGAACCTCGTCGACGTGTGATTGGCCCATTTGTCAAACGAAACAGTCATCATCGCAACCAAAAATGTGCACTCTCTCGGCGCCGATGCTGATGGCGCGGCCGATCCTGGTGACGATTCCAGACTTCTTGGGCCATGGAATCCAGATGCTTCCTGCCGAAATGTTCCTTTCGTCTCCATGGGGTGGATCCTTTAACGTTCTCCGCTTCCGATACGACGCCCACCGACAAGTACGCGCTGTCCATCGTGTCCATCGTACTCTCTCACCACTTGTCTATGTGATAGACTCTGCAGGAATCTGGACAAGGTATGCATTGTTATGATGCTTCTCTCTCTCTCCTTGGACCAATTATGACGGGGTTTCCGCCGTAGATTTGCTGGGCGTGCTTCACGACATCAAGCCCATCTCGGGGTTGGAACCCAGCTACATCGTCACGCACGGCTATGGCGCATTAGTGCTTCGAGTAAGTCCATTGAATTCGACTGATTCTTCAACGTGTGCTAGGAAGCGCTACGGTGCATTGACTGGCATGACGTTCGAACCAGACTGGTCATGGTGGCGCCGCCAAATCGAGGGTACATACAAAGAATGCACGCACGCACCCAACTGCCGCCAACATGCCTTGGTGCGATCATTCTTCATTGACTTGAGAACCGTAGACTGTTAAAACCAACGTGGTGTTTCACGGCAAATGTCGCGAGAAGTGAACTGCTGACGCTTCAAGATTTCGACCTGGACATGCGGCTCGGCAAACTTCCCCGGCGGACATCTTCGCTGGTGGTCGCCGGAGCTCTCCCGCTCCACAGGTCCCATGCTCCTCCCTCCGATGGAGTGGTTTCCGTGGCGCATACCCACATGCCTGGAGAGTACACGCACATGGTAACGCCGTATTCATCAGATTGTTTCAATGAAGCTGTTGTGATGTGTGGTAGATTCTGCCAGCACCACATAATCTCATCATGGCCCATCCAGCAACCCTTCGACTTGCTCGAGATTTTCTGTTGGGCTAACGACATAAACGATACGTTTCTACGTGGGATGTTTTAAGGAACAACACCACCACTGTCGTATTCTCGGCATCCAAACCAGTACACACAAATGCACTTGACGTGCATTGCCCAGTTTTAGCAGGCATGTTATCTAAACAACCTCCGCGTTTGGTTAGATACCTACTATTAATAGTACTTCAGAAGTATTACGTAGTAATAACTACTAGAAGTATTACGTAGTAATAACTACTAGAAGTATTACGTAGTAATAACTACTAGTATACAGTAGCACTGCTCTGTCCAAATGGCATGTGAAAAATCATATTTTCACGCGTACCATACAGTACTACTGAGTGACTTTCTGTCTCGATTATGCCGAGCTTGTTCACACAAACGCAGTGATCGCGCCCGCGTACTTTGTGTTCTTTTACATTGTGCTCGTGCTGGTGGTCGTGAATATCTTTGTGGCGATCCTCCAAGATGCGTTTACGACAGCGCACAAAAGCAGACGGTGCTGAAGACCAAGCAACCAGCGGTTCGGTTTCCGTTTGCCGCTGGCGTGTGGCCCACCGTCGTGTTTTACATCAAGCGGCAATGGGTAGCGGTCAAGTAAGGCGCGGGGGCCGCCGCCAACCTGGCGATGCCCTCCGACACCAAGGGGGCGACGCCGACTTTGGGGGCGCCCTGCACCCGTACATGGTCATGGAAATGCAAGCGCTCAGTGAAAAAGTTGACGACCATGATGCATGCCCACATGGCCATGGAAATGTAAGCGCTCAGTGAAAAGTTGACGACCATGATGCGTGCCCACGACGAAAAGAGGGGCAAGCTCGACAACAACGAGGCAATGCTACGGTGAGGACACGTGCGTCGAGCTCAAGACGGAGAAAGACAAGCTCGCCACGTCGTTGTAGTGCAAGCAGTTGAAGCGTTGAAACTTGGCTGCTGTGCTCTGAATATGCCTACAAATTAGTACTTCGAGATCGATAGTAACTGAGTAATGTGAAATGGCGGCCAAGACTTACTCATCGTATACCATTTTTCAATTAAATCAAGATGTTATATCCACTAAGTTGATATTGTTTGTATCCTATATATAAAGCGCCGTTGGTTTAGTGGTAAAATATCCGCCTCCCACGCGGATGCCCCGGGTTCGATTCCCGGACGGCGCACTACTTTTCCAATTCTTTTGCCAGTGAAACACTTTGTTTAAATGGATAAAACTCCATCACAGTGCTGTCCAGGAGCTAGCTTCACAGCTGTCAGTACTATAGTGCCTGCGATTACGACACTCCGTTAACGTGATGGATCTGTGTTCTGCTGGTTTTTTGCTCCATTGAATCTACCATAATCTCGTGAAAATTATCTCGACGTGAAAGTTGCAGTGTCGAACTCTCTTTCTTGAGCTTTACATCGTCGTCAGAATACAAATCAATGCAAGAGTTTGGGTCCGGGCAAGTAAAATGTCAAGAGTGAAGTAATTTGGCGATTTTATTACTTGCTTAAGGTATGTGTGTTTTTAGGCTTCAGAGAGCTGAAATTACCATTGCAATGACCGCACGGTACCACTGGGTACTTGAGGAAAAACCAGGAGTGCCCAGGAGCCTGCTGGAGCCCTACTAGGATGGCTTGGAGGTCTGCGCGATCAGCGTCATCGACAGGTAGGGAGCGGAGCCACCTGTGAACACAAGTACACCACATAACGAGGGGCACTCCCCTTGGAACTTAGCGTGGTTTCGAGTGGTCCACAGTGCTCGCATCGTGACCGACATGAGGGGGTGCCCATAATTTAGTAACCACGACGTTGTATGGGGCGCAGATTGATGTGATGGGCAGGTCGTCGAGATTTTAGATCAGATCCCATTGAAAAAGCCTCCAAATGTAGTCAAAAAGTAGCGATAGCTGACAGGTAAGTCGACCCTAGGTCTTAATGTAGGACCGAAGGTGGGTTTCAGTAGTCCTGGTGGCAGTAACCATAAGGTGAGGTTTGATGGGCTGGACAGCGTGGAAGCAGATGGCCTTAGTGTATTTTCGTGGCCAGTGGGCGAAGCCCATGGGTATTTTGAGTACCCTAGCACCCACTTCACTTTCACTAGGCCCCGTGATGGGCATCGGCATATCAAGGGCATGGGCTATATACTTCCAATACCCGCTGGGCAATCGTTGATTATTCGATGTACAAGTGACGAAATGTCACTGGTTATTCCCCCAATTCATCAAGCGTCTCGGCAAAGTCGAGCATTCGGCGTTGAAATTGATCCAATGTTGGCCAATGGCATGAGGGGTTAAAAGGTCCCCGAGGCAATGTAGGCCACATGATGCTAGGTGGCGTGACCACGAACGATGCTTCCTGAGTGCAATAGCCAAGCAAGTTATCTCGGACTTGCTACCCTTAACGGTGAATAGAGGGTACCTCTGGAACCAGAACGACATACTAGTAGTCAAGAACTGAGACGGAGCTGGTGGTTGGATGCAGATGGATTCCACGGACAAGCGAGCCCACCAAACCCACATATAACGCCAAAAGGGGGGAGGTCCAGGCGTGGGACAGGTGTCCTCCAGTTGGGTTCATACAGCAGGGCATCCTATTTATCCTGTCGGGTGAAAGGTGCCAAACATTGGTGCCAATGATACTTGGGTATTGCTGTCCACAGCTCAGAGTCCAGGTAGTTTTGTACGAGAAGCTGTAGTCGAAGCACATGTTGGTATTGTACCGCAGAAGGGATGTGTGGAACACGCAATCCGGATGGGCCTACCACCCGCTGTGGATGAAATGCTCACCATGTCTCAATTTAAGGCCAAGTATGAACTTGAGTACCATGGACCGCCACCTGCCAAGTGTAACTTGGGTCACCGGTATCACTGCGGTGTAATATCACAACTGTGATAGGATCATCATGTTCACCAGGAGCCTACGGTCCTGCAGCGTACGAGCACGACAAACCCATTTCAGGAATGAGTTGAGGAGTGTGTCCACCATTTGGTGGACTTGGGTTTGGTCACTCAGATCACGACCGAAAATAATGCCCAAGTAACGAATGAGCACCTCAGATGGGACCACATTGAGCCGAGGGTGATGAGATACCATCATCTTTGAGTTCAGGGGCAGGGCCTTACATTTGCTTCTGTTGAGACGAGCGCGAGAGACAGTGCAGAAGTCATCGACCTGTCGTTCCGGGTCGTCCAGAGATGTGGAGATGAGAGTAGTATCATCGGCGAACAGGAGGGCCATCGCTGCTCTACCTGTCGCGTTGGAGTAGAAGAATCCATACTCCTCGTGGTTCCGCAGCATTTGGCTGAGTGGTTCGATCGTCAGAATGAACAGTATACACGAGAGGAGATCACCCTGCTTCACCCCCCTCGAAGGATAGATAGGGGGGCTCAAATCACCGTTGAGCAGAAGGAACACGATTGGTGTTCGGTAGAGGAGCTGGATCCACTGAATGAACCAGGGTCCAATGTTGAAAGCCTCTAAGGTGTAGGACATGAACTCCCAATTCACTTGATCGTAAGCCTTCTCAAAGTCGAGAAACATGGCATAAGTTAAGAAACATGGCATACGCCTCATCGTCCTCCAGGGTACATTGATGCTGGAGGTCCTTAAAGGAAAATGACATGGTCATGTATCCTCCACCCAGTCACAAAGCCGTCTGCACGAGTAGGGGTATGATCGTTCGGAGTCTGTGAGTCAGCACCCGAGAGAGCGCCTTAACCTCTCTACAGGTATGAGGGAGATGGGTCGGTAATGGCCGGGGTGGCTACGTTCCCCGCCCTTGAAAAGCAGTGTGGTCGGCTGGCGTAATGGGCTCATCTAATCCCGAGCGTTGTTCCTCCGTCAGACGTGTCTTCAGACACCGCAAAAAACTGCCTCCTTGCGGCGCGATTGGGGGTGCGAAGTCTCCCTCGCGCATGATGGAGGACCATCGCGTATGGATGGCCTGGTGGATGTCTTGTGGGTGAAAGGAAACACGACCATCGCCTGTGGTGACAGTGGCGATGGACACCTTGTCGACAGTCTCCTGTGGTCGTCGGAAGAAGTGCGATGTCGAT